TTTTATGATATTGTTTATGGAAATTCAGGAGCATTTCCAGGTTTAGCTGGTCTTGCTGATAACATTGATTCTATAAATTAAGAGATTTCAGACTTTTAAAAATAACTAAAAGTTGTATTTGGTAGCAAGACTTCAAAAACCATAAGCCAAAAAAAGAATGATGTGATCACAGCCAATAATAAGTAAAAATATTAATTTATAATATATTTTAGTATGAAAAGAGGAGCATCAAATGCAGCAGTACCAGTTTTAGATGGTGGAGCTGAGAGTTATTTATCCTCATAAAACTTTGTAATTATTATATTCTATTTGTTTAGCTTGACTATATTTTGATGTCTTCTACTGATTCATCTTCCTCTACCTATACTTCAAATTACAACAATTTGCAATCAATTTATAAAGATCATTTAAAATGCACACCTTAGCCAGAGGCTTTTGCTTCTTATTATGATGGAATGGTTAAAACAGCAGAAGAATTAGAAACTTATGCTACTGATATCTCAGGAGATGCTTTTGATACTAGCACATTAGAGAGTGGAAGTAGTACAATTGATGGATTTATTTCTGATATTAATGATGCCAGCACAACTCTTTATGACAATACTAAAGTATTAGATGATGCTGGAACATATGCAACTTTAGCTCTTAATGTATTATTTGGTGTAGGATTGGGTCTAAGTATAGTATCAATTTGCTCTATCATTTTGATTGTTTTATTGAAAATCTATAAAGTAAGAGGATTATTACACTTTACTTGGTGTATATATGTCATTTTGATGATATTATGTTTCTTATTAGCTCTCCTTTTACATCCATCCTCTGTCATCTTTGCTGAAGTATGTTATTATCTTGATTCATTTGTAAATGACTATGAATTTTTTTAACAAACATAATTCATTGATGCAGGAGAAACTAAAGATATTATATCTTCCTGTTTTTTCCCTGGTTCAGCAGAGAGCCTATTTGAAGTCATGGATTTAGCTTCAGCTACTGATCCTTTGAACAGCTTTAAAGAACAAATCAATGAATTTCAGACTTAATATTCTTCATTTGATGGTCAAAAAAAAGATTTTAATGACAAATTAAATAATAATCTCTTAGCCGTTTAAAATTGTAAAGATGGAACTGTCTTTGATGTAAAACCAGCTGACTATGTTCCACTAAAAGCAGCTTTTGATAAATTCAATAGTTTCAAATCAAATTCTGGTTGTGTTGAATTGGCAGTTAGTAAATGTGCTGATGGATTATTACCTATGAGATCTGCTTCAGATACTGGATCAACATTTAATTAGAAATGTTGGCATCCTGCATATTTAGCATCATCAACACCATCTTGTGCTGATTAGAGTGGTTTAGCTGATACTGCTGTATTGAAAACTCAATACAATAAATAATCTTCAATGTGGTCATCTCCAACATCAAAAGAATAAAATATTTTAACTTTAAATGCAGATGTATCTAAGACATTTGAAGATTATATGAATAAGATTAATGATTTTATTAGTGATGCTGACGCTATTATGGGACACTTAGATGCATTATTAAATGGAGTTGATTGTTCATTTTTGAAAGTAAGAATTTATTTATAATTTTATAGGAATCATTCAATAATGTATTAGATGGTCTATGTGTTGTGTTTATTCCAGGAATATCCAGAACAACTATTTTAATAATTATAATAGGTGTTTCAATGTTTTTTGGTTCTTTGGCAAACTGTTGTGTTGGATTGAGAGCATATAGAATTTCAAATTATGGTTTCAAAGATGGAGATGGTTCAGGTTCTAAGATAGCACCCAAAGATCCAGAAACTTAAGGAATGACAGTCTAGTGATAATTATTGATAATGTATAAAATAATAATATCAAAATTTTTAATATTTTTTTAATATTTAATTTTATTCTCTTTTTTTATCATTACTTATCTGTAATTTTTAATTTTACTCTTCTGAATATATTATTTTAATTTATCGATATTTATTATAAATATTTTTTGATTTATCATAATAATTCTAATGATATAAAATTAATATTACTAATAATTTAAAGTTAACTTTAATTTATTTGATTCTTATAAAGTGTTATATTTTATTTTTTTGAAATCATTATTAATATTATTAAACTCAATTTCACATTTATTTAATTTTTATGTTACCATTTATCTTTGCATTTTAACAAATGATTTATCATAACCTATTGATTTCATCCTATATAAATTTAAATTACCTATTTTTAATTCTTTAATTCATCATCATACTTAAAATGGGCATGTGTTAAAATAATCTTATAAATATTTCAGATGTTTATAAAAGGTTGAGAATTATATAATACATTGCTGATGATGTGTTATTTAAGTATCTTGATAAAATAATCATTAATAAAATAGATTAAGCGCTTGACTGTTAATTAAATTTAATGTAAAACAATTCCCCTATAAAAGGAAGAAGAATTTCAAATCAAATCAAATTAAGTGGTAAATTAATGAAAAAGAAAATGGCATCAGAAGTAGACATTATTGGTCCATCAGATTAGGATACAAGTGCTGTTGACCCAATTCAAATTGTTTAGTATGACAACTTGAAATCACACATTAAGTAATCATAAAGTGAACTCAAAGTGGGAAAGAGTACTGATAAAATTAAGAAAAAGAAATCTTTAGATCGTAATGCCGCCATTAAAAAGAGTCAATAATTATATTAAAAGAAGAAGAAATCAACTAAAATTAAAAAAAGCGTAAGTGCTGAAAGGGTTTAAAGTTAAACTGTTGAATTTTCATCACCAGAATATGTTCGTCGTAAAAAAGCTGCCACATTCTTCAATGAAAAACCAAGTTCGATTTAAGAGCATCGTGATAGGCTTGGTTTGAGTTTTTTAAATAAAATTGGAACTAGAAGAATAGATCAAATTCTTGAGCGTATATTTTGTGGCTATATTTGTGTGTAGGTAACCGCATGTCATCCATTGAACATTCACATCATCAACCACTTACACCTGAAAGACATTAATTTCCACAATAAATCAAACACTATATGAAAGAAAAGAAAAAGTTTTACTCTCAACTTGAATCTGTCAAATAATAATCATTTGCTGAAAAACGTAAGCATATTGATGAGAATCTACGATCTCTTGCTGAAATTGCAAAACGAAATTCCTTATCAAATAGTAGATCCCCTCCAAGAGATACCTCTAACAAAGCAAGTGCCAAACCATTAATGTTGAGTTATGTTGCAAATCGTAAGAGTACTTCTAGAAAATCTGGGGGACCAAAGTCATTAAAAGAATAATTTAAATAATTAGAAGCTCGTTATAAAACATTAAAAAGTAATAGTGATGGTATTTCAATGAGAGAATCTAGAAATTATGAATAAGAAATGAAGGATCATGCAGCAATATGTATTTAAAAATGGTTTAGAGGACATAAAATTAGAAAGATAACAAAATAAAAAAAAGATAAGAAAATTATTAAATTATAATAATTTTAGAAACTAAAAAATCAAGAAATTACACGTTGGAATAATTTAAGAGAATTTTTAGAAAAATTATAAATTAAATAAGATATGATTGTTATATCTGAATTAATTGAAAATTTAATAAAACATGCTGAATTTAATAAAATAAATATGTTTACTGATAATTTTGAAATGCCTTAGATAAAATTAAAACCATCTAAATTAATTGTAGAAAGAAGAGATGTATTTCCTACTTAGATAGGATAGATATTGTAACTTCGTGGATAATTAATAAAGGAAAGAGAATAAAGAGAAAAAAATATACTTAAGGATTTATTGATTTAAGAAAGGATATCACCTCGATCATTTGGAGTTAAAGAATAAGAGATTATGAAATGGGGAGAAAAGGAATTAGAATTATTAGAACACAATAAATAAGCTATAAAAGAAGGATGGTAAAAGGCATATGATACCATATAAAAAACATAAAAGGATTTAAAGTTTGTACAAAAATTAGGTGTTGATAATTTCAATAAAATGATGCCTTTAAGTTTAAGTCAAAGTAATCTACTAAAAAATTAATTGAATGATTTAAAAATTAATGTAATATATTATTTATATTCACTTAGCTTTTAAGAGTAAGTTATTCAGAAGAGAATTTACTTAATCCATAAAAGAAAATACCTTAATAAGATTAAGAATAATAATTAGTTTCATATAATTCTAACTAATCAAATAAGACTCTTTCTTCGTATATTCAAGGATTAGAAGTAATAATTTATTTAAGTAAGGGATGTTCCATTAGAAATGGAAGAGTAAGGATAGATAGAAAATTTGTAATATGTTTAGACTCATGTTGGATATATTCGTTAATATTTGGAAGATATTAAATTAATAGTTCGAAATCACTATTAAAATCAGTTTTTACAAATAGTAAATTTGGGTATTGGTCCATCTCCTTTCGAAATCTTAAGATTCTTTAGATTGACTGAAGAAATGATTGAATAATCAGTAGATGGAGGTTTCATTCATTAGGCTGTCTTAGGATTAGAAATATTTACTTAAAAAGAGAAAATAAGTTAAGAAGAGGTTTGTAACAATGAAATGGAGAGAATTCACAATAAAGCTATATTTGATGCTTATAATGAATCATTGGATTATTTTAGACCTTTTGGAATCAAGGGAAAACCATTACCTTGGAGAAGGAATGTGATATCTCGTTAGATTAAAGATTTAGATGAAACTTTGAATCAATCTGCATCCAAAGTAGTATAATGGGCTGAGACCTTATGTGGAATATTATTACCATAAGGAAGTTAGATAGATAATGATATTTTGCCATAGGTGAGAGAAGAGAGATTAGATAAGTTGTTGAAGTAGGAAGTAATTATATTAATTAATAATAATTAGGTACTTGAAAATGATGATAGATGGTAAGAATTTGATGAAGAACATACAGAGGTGACATTAGAACTAAGTGAATTAGTTTTTAATCATCTCATTACTGAGGTGATATAGGAATTAAGAAATTGATAAAGACAATGTTATTTATTTATCTCACTATTGTATTTCAAGGGCTACTTTTTCAAATGGATATTTGATTGGTTGTTATTTGTAGATTTTCTGTAAGGCCTATATAACAATTGTCCCTAATTCTTTATCATTTCCTTCTCTCTTCTTTTTTCTTAATGCTTACAATAGACCCCATAAACATCTAGGTTCATTTGGATTTTTGGATAAGACAAAACAATAATAGTTCTTAGCTTAAGTGTAATTTTAATTGGAATAATTGACCTTTTAATGATAATACATATTTATACTTCTGCTAATTTAATTGCTAAATGTAAATCTTATGTATTAAGTAATAAGACTTCTTCAAGGCAAAATTAAGCTTTAGAGTAATTCAAATGCTCTAAATATATGTCTGATAATTCAAGCCATGCCTCAGCATCATTGGGAAATGAAGTAAGAAAACTATTCAATAAGGCTATTGCTTAATCCACATTATTTTATCTCTTTAATATATATTTATTATTAATTACTCTTTACAATGCTATTTTTCTCTTTCTTGTATTTTGATCCATCAAATTTTCAGATAACATCTTCTCATATACTACTAAAGCATTATCATCTTCTTCATTAGCTTCTAACAAATATCCTTTCAATCTTTAAACTTTTTCAGATGTAGGAAATTTCTTTAACAAAACTTTGAGTACTTGCTATTGTTTTTGTGTATATTTACATCACTTGTGTGAATCAATTACATATCTATTGACAAATAAAACAATTCTTAAAGAAGTACTAAATATTCTGAACTTGAAGGTCTAAATTGTCTAATCAATTTATAAATCACAATAGACAAGCCATCAACTATGCGTATGTTTCCATTCTTCATTTTATGAAACAATTGTTTTAAATTCTTCATGCCTTCCAACTATTCCATCACTAATTGATGTTCCTCCATTAATATTTATATTAATATAAAATATTTAATTAGATTAAAAAGGATAACTTTATTATACGTTAATCAAAATTATGTTGAAAAGAATAAACAAAAACAGTCTATTAACATTACCATTTATTTATTATATAATGCTTTGTTAATAATAAAATCACCATTCTATATATACCCATTATTGCTAGATTAATAATACATAGATTCATATATTTTCTGCATATCTATGATTATTTATTTGTAAGGCATAAAGATTTTTATATTTTAGAAATATCGTAATCCTTTTGTAATTGATTTATTGAATATTGTTAGACTTTCAAATTATTGAGAATTTATTTAAATATATTTATCTACCTTTACTCTGAAAATTTGAATATATAGTCCAAATAAACCTTCTAATCTCCCTTATTTGTTATATTTCTATTTATGTTCAATTTAAACATTTTTTTTCTTATAAACCAAGATAAACTAAAATTATTTCAGAAATATTAGTTATTATCTTTAATTCAATTTATGTTTCTTCACTTTTATTTTCATTAAATTTAAATTACGATTAGTTAATTATCTATATCTTCTTATAACAATTAGTAATTATAAATATAAATATCATAACAATTACTGATGTGTGGAGACCAAAAGTCTGTTTTTAAAACTTCGATATATTCTATTCCCTAATTCCTAATGTAAACCCAAATTTAATAAACCAATTGCATTAGGAATACAATGCTAAATATCCTTTAAATTATATTTGACAGTTGTATTTTTACAATTTTTCATACTTTCGAAATATAACCAAAACTTTTTCCTCTTTTCTTAATAAAATATTGACACATATATTAAAGTTGGTCTCATTGTAAATACCATCCTTTTTAACAATGTATATTAATAACACTAATAATAATAAATATTTAATACTTTGAATGAAGAATATTATTCATAATTTGCATTGACTTTAATTACTTATGGACATTTTTCATCTCCTTATACTTCTTAAACAATAAACTTAGATGGATTCAATTTTAGTTATTTTTTTAATTTGTTTAACATGTATACTGAACATTTCTAAATATCTGATTCTATGAATTCATATTAATCTACACTACAATCATTCAATTTTAAATTCTATAGATTCCTCCTTTCATCATTATAATAACTGTATAATACTTTTCTTAGCATTAATTTAAAATTGACAATCTGAGGTTGTTCAAAAAGTGTGATTCTTTAATATAATTAATAATTCTAACTCTCATTTAATCTTATAGGCATATAAGGTTTTAACATGTTAAATGGTTTTCTGATATTTTCAACAAATACTTCAAATAAGGCATTAACTTCATTACCTAAATATACTACTTATGTATATAGATTTTCTCGTAAGACTCCTTTAAAAGTATCTAAATTTAAAATAAATCGATTTTAAGAATTCTTAGTAATTTATACTTTATCAATAAGTGATTCCCAAATTTTAATTTCAAAGGTTGAAATCATATCAAGATTGTTTTTTCTAACAAGTATTTAATTAAAAAATAAATCTTTATCACTTTAATACAAATTTTCCATACTACATTAATTTGATACTCTAGGACTATTTCTATAAAAAAGACTTTTATCTGTTTTCTATTAAAATTATGATGTTGGTAATGATAATCTCTAAGGATTTGATTGACCAATAGAATTTTATACTGAAAATTACTTAGAGAATTATTTTTTAACAAAAATAGGTGGTTAAGTTGATGATCTAGCATTTTATCTACTTTGATCACTAAATGATTCAAGTAATTTAGGAGTCTCATCATATTATTTTTCTAAAAATTCATCTTCATTATTTATAGAAACTCTACTTTCAGTTAGTTTTTATAATTCTGATTATGGAATAGCTCTAGCTTAACTACGCATTTCACTATAAAAATCTTCAAATTCATCAGGATGATTGACTGCCATTTCAAATATTTTGTTCATTTCTGAAAATTTCCATCTATTTATATAAAATTAATCAATAGTTTCTTTGGTAACTAAATTAGATGGGAATATTGATTCTAAAAATACAGGATTCATATTTTGAAAATCATTTGATGATATATAACAACTAAAATTCCTACAAGTTTATGGTATATATAATCCTATTTAAAATTTATTGAGAGATAAATAAGATATAGTGATAATTACATACATATTATTTACAATTTTAGTTGTTTTATAAATAAACTTCTATCCTCTAAAAATAGGAGTTAACATAGTAGTATTTTTTAATACTTTATTTGCTTCTTCAGGCATTTATAAATTATCAATTTATACATCCATAATCTAAGCTTAAGACTTTTTTCTAAGCATTGGATCACTTATTAAGATAGATAATTTTGGATGAGAAGATCTAGCATTTTGTTATTCTTCAAGTATATTACTTCCATATGTTACTTCAGTAAATGTATTGTGAAGATCATATTTAGATTAACTTGCAATATATGATAAAGGAATTTTAATTCCATGATAAGTATTTGTTCTATAACATACTAAATAAGCAGTCAATATTTTAATTATTTGATGTAATACTTTATCTTTAAAACAGTTTTATAATACAACTTTATTACATATACTTTTAATATCAGCAAAGTCCAAGACTAATTTAAAGACTTTGGTTCTACTTTCTTAAGGTGTTATTTAAAAATAGAAATATGTATGATCATTATTTTATTAATCAGAATAAAATTTATTAAATTAATAAACTTCGCATTCTACAAAAACTTTTCCTATATTACTAACTCTACTTTAAGCATTAAAAGTTTTACGATGAAAATATGTTTTCATGAAATATCTTAAACGACTTGAAGATATCAAAGTCAATTTCAATTATTATTTGAAATAATAAAAGAGAATTGTTGATTTTAATAATCTATGATTTTCATTTTTTATGAATTACAAAGGATCAATTATGTACATTAATAAAAATTAATCTAAAGCACTAAATTTATCTCTATTCCTATCCTCTAAACATATCACCTATCTATTGAATTATAATGCTCTTCCTATTAATCTTCTTTATATTTTAGCTTATGATTTTATTTAATATCCTATCAATTATGGCTTAATAAAAATATGAAGCATTTTCTCTATATCTTAAAGTGAATCAATAGTTCTATAAAAATATTACTTTTAATTAGGATTATAGAGTAAAATCTTGACTAATAATTTTGAATGACTGATAAATTAATGCATGTTTTTCTTGAGAACAATCAAATCTTACTTTGCTTATTGTTCACTAAGATACAAGAGTTTTGTATCTAGAATTTTTGTTTCTCTAAAACAAACTTCAACTTTTAAACTTAAATTAGTTTAATAATAGTAAAATTTATTTTTATTTATGTTAAATTTCGATCTATAACAATGAAAGGATTTACTATCAATTAATTCTTCATTGGATTGAGGGATTCCAGTTTCAATTATTATTTGAATACCTTCTTCAGTTTCAGTTCTAATATCATTTTGTAATAATTGTAATGAAACTATTTTATCTGAGTAGTTTAGACATTTTATAGAAGTAGAAGGTATGATATTATTGCTACATAATGATTAATGAATTTCATTTTATATGTATTCATCATAATGATTCATTCTTCTAACATATCTCTATAACATTATTAAAGTATGTCTATAATTATATTATTGCAATTCTTGAACTATAGAGAGTCTTTAAGAATTATCTGGTTTATCTATTAGATGTTTTAATATTTCTAGTTTCTTTTATCGATTAGGTAATCTAATGCCAGGATCTATTTATAAAATTTATTTATGAACATTTCCTTCTCTATTATCAATTATCAAATACACCTAACCTTCTTCATATAATACAAATCCAGTTTTTATTTATTTATCTTACTTTAAAGTAACATTCAACATTATAAATGAATCTGGATATTCAGGTAAAAATGGTTCAGGTTCTGGATATATTATTAGACCTCTAGGTGGAAAATAAGTAGATTTATAGTTAAATTAATTTTTAAATGAAAGAATAGGTCCTTCTTTTGGTTAATAATCTTCGAAATCAGCTAAATTGGCAAAATGAAATTCAGATAGATAATCATTTAGGAATTATATATCTGAATTTGATCTATCTCTAATTTATTCATCCAAACTTTATTTGGAAATTGGAGGTTCTAAATTAAATTCTTCTTATTTAATTAAATCTAATTTCTATTTTCTAGAAAATTCTAAAAATTGACTTCCATGAGTTTTTCTTTAAATAGGATTACGAATTACTGCTTAAGATGAAATAATAGAATCAAATCTAGGACTTGTCATAGTATTTCTATTATGAATTACAGAATATTATTTTTTTGGATTTCTCAATGGAATTTCTTAAATAATATCTTTTTCTGAAATGTTCTCAATAGATTATAAATGATTAGAAAAATGTTTTTAATCAGAAGGTGATTAGGATGTAATAATTTTTGATTAATCAGATTTATTATCATCTGATTCTTAAATAATGATACTTTATTCTCTAGAGTATTAAATTTCATCATTAAAAAGTAGTTATCTTTTATTTCTAGATGATGATATTGATGGTAATTCTTATTTTTAATGTTCAACAATTTTTATAGGTTCCATTTTTAATTATTTTAAAAGCATTTATCTTTTGTTCTCTTTTTCTATTTATTTATTTTTATAATAAGATCTAATATCAATAATTTCATGTTGTAATTGATTAGATATTACATCTTTCATTGTAATTATTTTAAAACCAACAACAGATCTAATTAAATAATAATGATTCTTTATAGCATATAAAAGTTTGCTAACTATTTCCTAAGCAATTTCGGTTGATTAAAATACAATAACATTACATTTATTAGATTGATAAAGTGATTATTATTTACAATATATACTTAATAAACCATTAAAATTTTATAGACGATCCTTTGAAAACCATCTTTAATATTCATCTAAATAACTAGCAAAATTATTAATTTTGAAATTGAGTGTGTAATGTTATTTATCATTAGATAATCTAAAATAGACTATTAATTATAATGCTTTAATAGATCTAACATCAGCAAATATATTCATTATATATTGCAATTAATGTTCTAATTGAAATTCATTATAAATATATACAAATTTCGCTAGGAGAAATATCATTTTGTATTTATTCTTGTTCTTCTGTCTCTAAATTCTAAGCATTAGCATCACTAAAGGCTCTAACACAAATATTTGATAATTTCCATATCTTAATCTCAGAATCAAAGAATAACTTAGATAAAAAGTATAATTCTTATTCTGGTAGATTGTAAAATTCCTTAATAATTTAGACTAACTATAATAATTAAATCAATTAAATATACAGTTTTAGCTTTATTAGAACTACTTTAATCTGAATCAGTATTCTTGATTTCCCTCACTATTGAATCAAATCCAAAGTTTCTTCTTCTAAAAGAATTTTTCATATCTTTAACAGAAACTTTCATTTAATTTCGACCTGTCTATTAACTTTCAACCTTTTCACTTATTTATGTAACATTGATTGGTTTTGGTAGATTAATGGGAGTTAATTCAATAGTTTATACAGATTGAATCTATTTAATAGTTTTACTATATTTCCTATAACAGGATTAAATGATAGAAGCTGCTAAGTTAAGTTAGTCCATTGTATATTTATTGAGTAAATCTGTGTATATATATTCTTTTTATTCAGACACTTCTGTTTATATTTTTTAGATAAATGGAACTTAAATAATTTGTTATTGTTATTATTATTATTATTATAAAAGAGATTCAGTTGTAGGCATATGCAAATCATCATTTTATTATTAGAAATTTTAATCTTATATAGTTTACATTTTATGTATTTTTTATTCACTTTATTAAGAATCAGATTTAATATGAATATTTTAAGTACTTTATTTATTTAGAATACGAGGAATCAATCTACTTGATTTGAATTTCTTTTTATTCAAATTTTTTATAGGTTAAGCTGATTCATTTTGTTTATTATCATTTTTCTTTTTATGTAATACATATTCAGATTTAATCATAGGTCTAGATAATAATAATTCATCCATAGTATCTTTCTTCAATTCTGTTGTATATAATTGTTCTCTATTAAAATCTATATAAAATTTATTTACTTTAGTTAATCCATATGATTTTCTAATTAATAGAGACTAGTTCTTTTTGATTAAGTAGCATTAGATGATAATTTAGGAGAGAATAATCTATCTTGAGGTAAAAAAGATTGATTATAAGTGGAAACAGCTCTAGATGATAATTTCTTATTTTTGATTTGATATTGCTTATATTTATTATTGGAATCATCATATTTCTATTAAAATGATATAGTTCTCAATTTATCCTCATATTCTATTCTAACTTTTTAAACATATTCTGGCATCTAATATTTTGTAGTATGTTAAGATAATTGTCCCACGATTTGTTGATATGATTTAACTTATTAAATGATATGATGCTTGAAATAACAGAAATAAGCATACATTAAATGTTTTATTTGGTTTAAGTGTTACTACTTTTTTAAGCAATTCTTATCCAACATCTTTTTGAAGATCTTCCTTAAATTATTAAAAGTCTACTTTCTCTTTAGCCATTATCATATCAAATTCCATTTTCTAACTTAATTTCTCATATTTATCTTTTGCTTTAATTGTAGCAGGTGCATCCATTCCATAGATTATTTCAAATATTTACTAAGATTTATATAGATTACTAAGAGATTCCCTTTCAAATCCAACTTTAAATTATGATTTACCAATATAATAGAAAGCCTTAGCCAACATTAAAAACCATTTTTTATATTCTTAATGAAATTCATCTTTTGTTAAATTTCTTAAAGATTCAAATGTGATACCCAAACGATGTAAGATTTCAACATATTTATTACATTGATCTAACATATCATCTTTTCTATGCATCATTCTACAAACTTCACATCCATGAAAGAGTAATTAAACATATACTTTTAAAACATTTTTATCATCCTCGTTAATATTTATTCTTTTTGAATATGCAAATTTCTCCATAAAAGGTAATACTTCTTTTATATTCATCCAAGCTTTTTAGTATTGATTTTATTATTCATACAATTATACAATCTATAATATAGCATTACCTCTTGCACGAACAAAATTTGCTGTATAAAATATTCCACTAGTAATTGAAATTGGAGTTGTGATCTATATTTTATTATAATTTTTTGTACTTCTTTAGCTCGATTGAAAAACATTTCTGCTTAAGGATTGTTACCTTATTTAATTAATGATCTTCCATCTCTTAATAATGTATTAGCAAATTCAACAGCTGCATTAACCACAACAGGAGATTCCCATCCATTTTAGGAAAGAGTCTATAAGTATTATCTTTCTAGCCTTTATAAATTCAAGAGCTATCCAGATTACATATAAAAATTATGATTAAAATAAGGAGTATGTATTTATAAAATAATATGAAAAACTAAAGAAATATATTAAAGAACATAGTGAAAAATGACTAAATAAAGTGAATATATAAGTCATCATTAAATGAATTACATTTTTATATTTAAATTAAAAGATGAAGAAAATAGCTTTAATTCTACTCTTGATACAATATTATGTTTATTCATAGACTACATAGAGTGAAATCAAAACAATATCTACATTAAATTAACCTTGTACTTGTTTACAAGTTTTGAATGAAAAAGATTGCCAATCTCTTAATTGTACTTGGGATGGTAGTAAATGTTCAGACATACCAGTGGTTTAAATTATCAAAACATATTGTGAATTAATTTAAATTGATAAATGCTAAAGTACAGAAGGTTGTGCCAATGTTTCAGATAAATGTGTATCGTTTGCTGGATGTTCTCTATTTTTTTATACATCAAATGAATTATGCTAAAACATATCTATAAGATGTATAACTGATGGGGATAAATGCATAGAATTGAATGATTGTATGAATTATACAAATCAGATAAGTTGTCTAAAAGATTAAAACGGGATGTATTGTACTTGGAACTCATAAACCTCAACTTGTGAATATCCTACAACTTGTGATTTATTACCTCTCACACTTAACTCAGATTAGTTATGTAGAGAATAATTGAAATAATGCACAACTAAAGAAGGAGGAGGTTGTGAAACAAGTCAAGAAAATTGTGAAAATCAAAAAATTTAATAAGCATGTGTAACAAATCTTGATTAAACAAAATAATGTATATGGGATGAGAGTAAATGTAAAGAAAAAACATGTTTAAATGCTCCTATTTCAAATAATAGTCATTTATTATGTAATACTTATCTTTCTACTTGTACTGTAAATGATACTTTAAATGGATGTTAAGATATACCATAATTATGTACATTATTAAAAACATATAATAATTGTACAATCAATAAAAATGGTGATATTTGTTATTGGAATAAAAATACTTAAAAATGTGAAGATAAAAATTGTGATAATGCACCAGATTCATTTACAAATAATGATTAATGTTTATCATGGTTATCAACTTGTATTGTAAAATCTGCAGGTTTAGGTTGTTAAACTAAAGCATCAGATTGTGTATAATATACAACTGAAAATTAATGTATTTAAACTATTACAGGTGATCCTTGTTTTTGGAATTAAAATAAATGTTATGCTAAAATTTGTGATAATGCACCTGATACATATATTAATCATGATTAATGTTCTCAATTTTTATCTACTTGTACTGTTTAATAGGATCTAACAGGATGTGAATCCAAAAAAGCTTCTTGTTCAAATTATCAAAAAGAAGAATAATGTAATTCTCTTATGGATGGTTCATTTTGTGTATTTTAAGATAATGTTTGTATTCCTCGTATTTGTAGTAATGCTTCAAAAGAATTAACAACTGATTAAGCATGTAAAAGATTCTCTTCTACTTGCATGGTTAAATCTAATTAATAAGGTTGTATTTTATAAGAATGTATAAGTATTACAAATAAGGAATATTGTTTATAAGATTATTAAAATAATTAATGTTATTATGGAACATAATGTCATATAAGAACATGTGAAAATGCTCCAAATTCATATAAATCTGATGAAGAATGTAGAACATATTTAGCTTCTTGTACTATAGATGATGATTTTGAAGGTTGTAAAGTTAGACCATTAAGTTGTACAGATTTAAATGAATTATAATGTAAAACATTAACAAATGGAACAAAATGTAGTTGGAATGATGATGATTCTAATAATAAATTTTGTAGATTATTAAATTGTGCAGATATTCCTCCTGATACTTAAACTGATGAATCATGTTCAAAATTTGATAAAAGTTGTACAGTTGCTGAAAATCCAAGTCTTTGTATGTAAAAACCAGCTATTTGTGGTATTATGATTACAAAAGATCATTGTCTTTCTGTTGTATTAGCAGATGGTATATCAAAATGTAGTTGGAATGATGAAACTTAAATATGTAGATAAAGAGTATGTTCAGATGCTGATACTACAAATGTAAGTGAAGAGAATTGTAGATCATTTATGCCTATATGTACAATTAATGATGATAAAACAGGATGTATTTAAGAACCAACTACATGTAAAGGTTATAAGAATCCTGAAGTTTGTATAAAATTAGTTGCAGATCCAAATAATATTAAATATTGTGGATGGAATGGATGTGAAGATAGAAGTTGTTAGAATGCTCCAATATTATTAGATGGAAATTATAGTCATTCAACTTGTAATAGTTATTTAGATGGTTGTACTTTGAATGATGATCAAACAGGTTGTGTATCATTATTTACATCATGTAGTTTAATAAAGAATTAAATATAATGTAATGAAACAATTTTAGTAGATAAATCAAAATGTACTTATGATTTGAGTGTTGATCCATTTATATGTAGAAGTTTTTAATGTATTGATAATACTTCCTCAGATATGACTCATGCATTATGTGTAGTTTTAGGTAGTTAATGTACTTTAGGAATTGGAGGAGTTGGATGTGTTAATTAGTTTAATTCTTGTTCTGCTGTAACAGATTAAATTTAATGTGATGACACTTTAGTTGTAGGTGGAAAACAATGTTTTTGGGATGCTTCTGCTATTCCTCCTAGTTGTAAAGATAGAGTATGTTCATTTGGTTAAAATAAAAACAATTATTAAGAATGTGAAGCTTTTATGAGTACTTGTACAAAGGGAGGAATTAATGAAAATTGTATAGATAAACCTACTTAATGTAATGGATTATCTGAAGTTAGATGTAATAATGTTAGATTACAAAATGGAGGTTTTTGTTCTTTTGATATTACAATTAATGATGTTAATTTATAATGTCAAAATAGAATTTGTGCAGATGCTCCAACAAGTTATTAAACAGATACACTTTGTAGAAGTTGGTTACCTACATGCACAGTTAAAGCTGATTAAACAGGTTGTATTAATGAACCAAATGATTGTACTTAAATGATGAGAGAATAGTGTTTTTAGATTAAAAGTACTGGAATAACTTGTTTTTGGAATACTGTTGGAGGTTCTGGTAGTTGTAGAGAAGCATAATGTACTGATGCTAGTAAGAGTAAATTTAATACTGATACTTAATGTTAGAGTTATAAATCAGGTTGTACAGTTGCTAAAAGTGGTGGTTGTATTGTATAACCTATTAGTTGTAATGGTTTAGAATAGGATCATTGTTCAAAGGTAACTATTAATGCAACTGGTAAAAGTGGAAGTGAGAATAAATGTAGTTGGAATACTAAGACTTCTGTTTGTTAAGATAGAGTATGTTCAGATGCACCAATTTCAATTACTACTGAGAGTGGTTGTAGAGCTTGGTTAAAAAGTTGTACTATTGGATTAACAAATAAAGGATGTATTAATGAATATTCTACATGTGATTAAATTTAGACTTTAAATTAATGTAGTCAATTATCTAATGGATAAAAATGTGGATGGAATAATGGATGTGTTGGTAGATAATGTTCTAATGCTCCTGATACTTATAATACTGATGAATAATGTAGAAATTATTTATCTAAATGTACTGTATAAGCTGATGGAACAGGATGTGAATTGAGAAAATTATAATGTATTGATATTGATGTAGAAAGATAATGTGTTTAAATTGATGATAATAATAAATGTTCTTGGAATGTTGTTAAAAAATAATGTGAAGATCGTTCATGTATTAATGCACCTATTACTATTACATCACATAATGTTTGTGAAACATATTTATCTAGTTGTACAGTTAAACCTAATGGTAAGGGTTGTCAAAGAAAATTAGATAAATGCTAAAATTATTCATTTATTGGTTAATGCAAAGTTACTCTTACAGGATAATAATGTTAATGGATTGTTAATTATGATATTGGATCTTGTGTAGATATATTATCATCATGTTCTACTTATATTTAATAAAATGCATGCACTATTCAAAGTGATGGATAAGTGTGTATATGGATTGATGGTTCATGTTATAATAGATAATGTTAACATGCACCTAAATCATATTCAACACATAAATAATGTTAAGAATATGGTAATAATTGTACAACCAATGGAAGAGGATGTATTAGTTATTAGAAATGTTCTGAATATAAATATTCATCAGCTTGTTTATAAGGTACTGATGGTCCTTGTACATTACTTGATCAATGTCAATTAATTTCTTGTGAAAATGCTCCTACAACTTTAAAAACAGATTCAGAATGTTCAACTTTTCTTAAAAAATGTACAACAAATGGAAATGGATGTATTGAAAAAAAGAGATGTCAAGATGCTTATATACAAGAAGCTTGTAAATTTAATAGTTCTGGTTAAAGTTGTGCTTGGGTGAATAATTAATGTTATGATAAAACATGTGAAACTGCTGATATATCATTAAAAACAGAAACATAATGTGAAGAATATTTCCCAGAAGCTAAATGCACAACTAAAAAAGGTGGTGGTTGTATATAAAAAGGTAAATGCAAAGATGCATAAATTGAATTAGCATGCACTTCTTAATATGATGGAAAATTGTGTTCTTGGTAAGATGGTTCTTGCAAAATGAAATCTTGTTCAGATCTCTTTGGTACTGATCATTATTCATGTTATTCTTAATAAAATGATTGTACATCAGATGGAATCAAATGTATTTCTATGAAAACTTGTTCTGATACTGATAATCGATTATCTTGTGTTTTAGGAACAGATGGACCTTGTTTATGGAGTAATAATTAATGTTATAGATTTACAAAATGTACAGATCTTATATTTACTACTCATTAAGAATGCAACTAAATACATTCATAATGTACTACTAATGGAGATAATTGTATATCTATTAGTACTTGTGCTAATACTCCTTAAATTGCTTGTTATAAAGGTATCAAAAGTCTAAATACCATTTAATGTATTTGGGCACCTTTATCAAATAGATAATCATCTATATAATAATGTATCGAATTTACTGAATGTTCTGCTGTTTATTATTTAAATCATAATGATTGTTATAATTATTCATAAGGTAAATGCACTACTGATGGAATCAAAGGTTGTATTGATTTAGATTCTTGTGAAAATTATACTAATTAAGCTTCTTGTTTCAATGACAAATAAGGTAAAAAAAAAAATGCTTAAGGAAATATAATTTCTACTGGATTCTGTTAATGGACAAATGATAAATGTACTGTATAAGGATGTTCTGAATTAATAGGTACAACTCATGAATAATGTAATTCCCAATTAAATACATGTACTTCTAATGGTTCATAATGTATACTTAAAACAACTTGTAATACTTTAAAAAATTATGATTCTTGTATTGCTGCCACTGGAACTGATGGAAAATGTGCTTGGATTAGTAATACTGGTATGGAGAAATCATGTAATCCTATGAAATGTTCTGATTATCCTATCACTTAATGTTCCAACTTTTCAAGTGATTGTATTCAAGATGGTTCAACTTGTGTATAAATCTCTTATTGTTCTATCTATAAAACAGAAGCTGCTTGTGATAAAGGTAGTATAAATTCTGTTTGTGTTTGGATTTAAACTAGTGCAAGTAAAAGTGTATGTATTGATGCCACAAATTGTTCTATTGCTAGTGCAAATCAAAAAGCTTGTAAAGCCTTATCTGATAGATGTTACTGGTAAAGAAAGACAATCTCTAATGTTTTAGAATATATTTGTATATCTAAAACATGTGAAGTTTAAACTGATGGCACTTGTACAGGTTATTATGATTGGGATAAGAAAATATATACAGTTTGTAAATTAGATAGCTAAAATAAATGTGTTAGTACTGATCCAACTACTTTAAATGCAGATGATTGTTTAACAAAAACACTTTATCAATATACTTGGAATAATAGTTCTAACAAATGTTAGATCTGTGATACAAATAGCAACTAAATCAATAATAATTCAAGTACTCCAAATAATACCAATAACTAATCTACATTTGAGACAATCTTATTCCCTGCCTTAATTGCTATTCTAAGTCTTTAAATATGAAACATAAATTCCATTCATATAATCATAAATATTATATTTAATTCTTCTAAATTAATGATTTTATAGTATCTAATTTTGATAAATTTGAATAATATTTAATAATTATTACAAATTTTATTTATTTAATTGTAAATTTAATTTTATTATTTAAAAGAATTATCTCAATGGATAACATAAATTTAAATGTTGAAGAAGTAGAAATAGTAGAAAAAGACCAAATATAAAATACAATAAGTGATTCTTAATAGGAATTAATATAAAAATTACATACAGAATATTAAATTCCATTATTTACAACAATTTATATTGTAATTTAGAAAGATTGTAAAAATTTAGAAATAGCTAATGAAATTTACAAAAATATTAACTCTGATGATCATGATTTTATTTAATTTAATGGGAGTATTGATTGTGCTATATGTTAAGAAGAAAAAAGTTTACATCAAGTTTGTAATAATAATTATTCTACTTTAATTATCATGGCTTAAGAGATGTAAAATAAATTTAAACCTACTATAATTTGTTAAATTTGTTATGAACCAAAATTTGAAGAAAATATCATAAATTTTAATAATAAAATCCATAATATTTGTAAAGAATGTTTTACAATGAATTTAATAGTATAAATTAAAAGTGGTCATGTCTAAGATTTAAAATGTCCTCATTGTAATGAACCATTAAATGATGAAATAATATTAAAATATGCTTCAGATATCAAATAAAAATTTCTTAAATTTAAAAATAATATTTCTGTTGCAACTAGCACAGATAGAACATGGTGTCCAAATAATTAATGTTAAAAAATAGTTATGTTTCAAACTTCTAATAAATTTGAAAAATGTACATTTTGTTAAACTGAATTTTGTAAAATGTGTAGGTAAAAATCACATCCTGATTTAAATTGTGATGAAAACTTAAAATAATTTATTGGAATACCTTAAAATAGTGAAAAATTAGTTTAATGTCCAAGATGTAAATTTTTAGTTGAAAAAGTTGATGGATGTAGTTAAATTACATGTGCTTTTTGTAAATGTTAATGGTGTTGGGGATGTCATAAGGAAATTACATTTTTACATCCTTTCTATTGTCCCCATTTTATGCCTTGTTATGATGATAAGAAATGTTGGACTAAATTTCTATTAATTTTTTGGTACTTATACTTAATTATTTGTTTATTTTTTGTTGGATTGTTTTTTGCATAAATTCTCTTATTTTAAAGCATATAAGAAACCTTATGTTATATAAATTAAAACTGTTGTGTTAAAGTAGTTATCAATATATTAATTAGTATTTTAGGGATCATAATATTTCCCTTAACTACAGCTTTATATTTAATTAGTAAATTATTTTAATTAATCTTAGGTCTACTACCAATATGCATAGGAGTTTTAATACTAGATTGGTATGATGGATAAAAGTTAAAAAATGAAAGATAGATTTCAAATGTTTAATAAGTAGAACCTTGAAGTCCAACTTATACTTCTATGATTTTTTATCCTTATTAAAAGATTAATATTATAATCAATAATAATTATTTCAATCTGTTCTTATGGTTCTTTTTAATTATATTTAGAAATAGTTAATAATTTGAAAAAAACATCTTACAACTTACCCCCTTTGAAGTAATTCTATAATTAAAGGGAATTCAGTGAGATGAAATTAAAAATTCATTTTATTTTTTTTTATTTATATATCTACTCTTCATATTTGATTATACATATAGTATCATTGCTAGGTGATTTGTGCTTTTAAAGAACAGGACATTTGATTCTTGTAGATATCTTTCTAAAGATTAGGATGACTATGTCATCTATATAGATTACTCCAAAACATATGAACCTCTATAAAAATCATTTCTTTATGACATCTGATAAATTTTCAGAAATGCCCAAATCTGGACAATTATTCAATTAAACTTTAAATCTCCTAAAATGTAACTTATTCTGTTAATGCTTACACAGTTCTCAGTTATAAAAAGCATTAATCATTATCTATAACCAATCCAATTAATAAATTTTAGAATTGCCTTAATTAGATGAATATATGCTATAATTATTTGTGAATTTCTAAATAAATCATATTTCTATTTCCAATTATTTCAATGACAGATTTAATCATAGTTTTCTTATTAAGTTTTTCTTAGAATAATACATTTTTGATTAAGGCAAGATATTAATAAGATTTCACTATTTTTTAATTAATAACATCTCTTATATCATCAAGTTGATCTATTATTAATTAATCTGTATATTATGTTTATAAGGCTTATTAAGTTAATTGCTTATGTCTATATAAACATACTCACATTTATGTTTCTAATAAAGTTTTGTTTTGTTTGTTAATTAAATTTATGGCTTCAAATTACGCACTTATGACTGAATCTATGGTTTATTTTGTGTATTCGTTTCGCATTAATTAAATATATGAAAATTTTAGACGATATCAAGCAACAAGTGGAAAAGGAGATGTTAAAATTTGATCCACGTTTGGCTGAAAAGAAGTATTTAAAAATTACACAATCAATAAAGGATTTGTTTTTAAAGGCTGTTGTGAAAGAGAAATAAACCATTAAAGCAGTAACAATTTTAATAATTAATAGGCTGCTCATTCTATTGGAATTAATTATTCTTCTGCCAAAGCTATTTGGGCTGAATTTAGAAGTAAGAATCAGAAGAAGAAGAAAAAAATCAAAGAAGATTCAGATTAGAAAAATGGAAACCAATTAGTTAAGCGTTGTTCCTATAAAATATTGAATGGGTGTAATAAAATAAAAAAATTCTTCATGGAAATTAAGTCATCGGTCTCATAGAACTTAAGCTCAACTCATTTAATCAATTTAGAATCACATATATGAATTTAAATTATTTTATCTTTTTTTATGCTATTTTTACAAATATATTAATATATGTGAATAATAAAAATCAATATCAATTTATTAATTGTTTATATTACTCTATGTGTATCATAACCTCTAAGTATCAAATGAAGGAACATTTAATTAAAACTTATAATCAAATATATATGAAAACTATATCTCCCTTTTATAATACTATTAAAAAACATAGAGATATTAAAACTATAATTCAAACTCAATAAAATACTTTATTCTAAATTACTATCATATAGTACTTTTACAAACCATCTGAATATAACCTACTATATTATTTCTATTTTAAGAGTATAATATAATAATCTTGTAAACTCTCAATAATAGTAGTATTATTATATACAGAGTTAAAGTTTACATTAAATGATGTAATAATAATTGGAAATACATATAATATCTAAAAAAGAACACTATTGAAATTTAATTACTAATTTAATTAACTTTATGTCTTTGGCAAGTGATCCATTCTCTAGAAGCATAGTCTCAACAACAATTCCAATAGAGGATCTTAAATTCGTGTATTCTGTACCTCAAATAGTTGATCCTGATCCTTTGACATGCATAGTAGAATAAAGTACTTAATTTGAAAGTTAAATGAGCAGCACATGAAGAGGGAGCTATTTATGTGGGAGGATATGAAGGAGCAAAAGATCTTGAAACATTAAAACGATTAAAGATTAGAGCTGTTTTAACTGCAAGTCAAGAGACAGCTGTTTAATATTCTGATCTTATTGTTTAATTTCATCATGTGATATAAGCACATGATAAAGATGATTACAATATATTACAATTTGCTGATTAGACTTTTGATTTTATAGAACGTCATAGAAAACATACAAATATATTAGTTCATTGTTTTTTGGGAATTAGTAGATCACCTACTATTGTTGCGGCATATTTAATGCGCAAACATAATATGAATATGGAGAAAGCTTTATGGAAATTAAAATCTAAACGTAGATAAGTAAATCCAAATTCAGGCTTTTTGAAATAATTACTCAATTACGAAAAATTATTATAACAATAACAGTAATAATAATAATAACAATAACTATAAAAACCAAAAAGCATTTTCAAAATGGTTCGATAATAAGCTGCACCTTAAACTCAAATGCTTCCTCAAAGTAGAATTCTTCCTATGGATAGTAGAGTTATATTTTAGAAGCAGCCTTCGCAATATATTCCATAACCATATTATAAATGAAATTATATTATGAATAATATTAATGAATTCACAACTTATAGAAGCAGAAGTCATTATTCTCCTTCATAATTATCATCTAGTTCACCTCTTTTGAATTAGTAATATGATGAGTTTGTTAACAAGATATATGGTAAAACAAGATAAATTAAAATACATCATCTTATTCCTAAATAAACCAATAAAGTTTTTGAATTAATAACTCCATAATATGAAGATGCTATTTACAAAAAAATGGATGATTATATAAAAAATGAAAAGCTTAGTAGAAGAGAAACACGAATTCAAGAAAGAATAATAGAAAAAGAAGTTATTTAATAATATAAGGATAAATAATAAACATATAAATAATTGATTCCTGATTAGAATTACATCAAAATATTAAGGTCTTGTTAAAATTATATACCCAAATTTAAGTTTGACAGATTCAATAGTCCTAATAATTATGAAAATAATGAAAAATTATTACTCAAGGCTAGTGAATTACTTTAATAAAGATAATAGAGACATTATATTTATAAATAACAATTAGAATATGAAAGGAAGAAGAATAAAAATTTATTAAAATAAAATTATTATTAAGAAACTACTTAACGTATACTCAGTCCTTTAAAGTTAAGACATATAGATTAAATTATACAAAAATGTAAAGAATAAAATGATGGTTGTAATACAGAAATAAAAGAGATTAATAAAAATAAATAATAATTCAATAAAAATTATTAATTTATAAAAGACTAATATAATGATATATTCAATTAATGATGAATCTTTTTAATCTTAAATCTTACTCTAAATCTACTGTTACTTAAACATTATTATTTTAAGGAAATTCTTTAAATTATGGTATTATGATATTAGGAGTTTAAACATATATATTTAATATTTATTAAGTCATTGATATTAAAATGCAAATAAAACTTAGAAATTATTCTTTTTTAAATTAATCTTACATTTTCCATGGTTAATTTTTATCTATTAATGTATTTATGAGTACAAAAATCTTTTATAATTCTAAATAACCTTCTATAAATTAATTCTTATCTAAAAATGCTTTAGTATTTTTATGCAATTCAAGAAATGATTATTTCGTTTATAATAATTGATCATCCAATAAATGTTATTATAATAATAGTAGATTTGGTGATATTATCTTTGGTCTAAATAATCTAAATAAAATATTATTAAATTGATCTATGTAAGTATTCCAACACTTCTCTAATTTATTCTCTTCAAATGAAACATCCATATTTTATGGTCCTTAAGTAAGGAAATATAATCTAATTTAATTTTAATTGTATTTTTTTAATAATTAAAATGGATCTATCACATTTCCAAGAGACTTAGACATTTTCATCTTAATTATAATATATTATATATTTACATTATTTCTTATCCAATGATTATGCACTATCAATTCAGTTGTAGATTAATTATTAATTCCTTTTAAAAAACAAGGCCAATATAAAGCATGAAATCTCACTATATCTTTACCTATAACATGCATATAATGATGTTACTCTTCTTATAAATAACCTAATAAAGCATCCAACCATACATAAATCAATTAATTATTATCATTAGGAACCTCAATTCCCCAATAATATCTCTATTTAGGTCTGCTAATACAAATACTATTTATTATTAATTATTTTAGTTCATTTTAATATCTAGATGGTGAATTTTTAATACAAGTATCAAGATAATCTTTATCAACTTTGAAAAAATAATTATCTTCTTCCAAATATTAATCAGTTTTATGATTTACAAATGATTCTTCAACTTAACAATAATATCCTTTATAAGTATCCTTAATAATAAATCCATTATTTTAAAGCACATTCCAATTCTTTTACACTTTTATGATATGCTGTGGATCAGTGGTTCTTACAAATTAATCATATTTAATAAATGAATTAGCTAATTATTTGAATTGATCTGAAATTGAATCACAATATTATTAAAGTGGTTGATGTTTAGCACTTCTGTAGACTTTTAATCCATGTTCATCAGTTCCTGTCAACAATTTTACAGATTTATACTTAGCAATGGCATCTGCATAAATCATTGAATAGAGATGACCAATATGTGGTTATGCATTCACATAAAACAAAGGTGTAGTTATTATTTATTTTATCATAAAAAAATTAAATAAATTTTATATAATTATAATATACATAATCCTAACCATCCTATTTATATACTTATTATGTTGATCAAAATTTATGATTAATGCAACCATAAATTTAATCCAAACATTATCCATGATAATAGGATCATTAATTTTGTTAACACATTAGTTTTATCATCTTTTAATACAACTATCAAAACAATCATTAACAAAGATAATTCAAATAATACATTAAAAAAAATGTTAC